TGGTGGGGTTGGAGAAGACCTTGCCCTGCTCATGGATCTGGAAGATGTTTGGACTAGAGGGCACAACCAATGGGCTATTTGGATTTTTTCCCTTTCTTCGGGCTCTGATAGCAGATATACTTTGATCTGGTTAGGAAACAGTGCAGCTCAGGAGGACTGAGCTGTTGATTCTGCACAGTTCCTAGTCTACCTCAACACAAATCCAGAAAGCTCCATTCCATAGCTTTGGGATAAGTTATTCCAACTGTGAACCATCTCACTCCCCCTACCCCCCAGTCTTTAAACTTGTATTTTTGTTTTGGAAGCTTCTTTAAGCGTTGAGTTTCCCAAAGTCTCTTTCTTTCCCCTACAACTTCCTTTTACACAGATTTGACAAACTCGTGCTATGAAAAAGCACAATATTTTTCATTTTTCCCCATTTTTTTCATATTTTTTATTTTTTTGCTATGAGAAAGCACAATGTTTTTCCTGTTTTTTATTTCTATAGCATTGTATTATTTTTATTTTAAAAGAGTTATTTCAAATACACAGAATTGTAGAGACAATCATTCATTCATTCATTCAGTTAACAATTTATTGAGGACTTACTAAGCATGGGGCACTTTTCTAGCTTCCGAGAATACAGCAGTCAACCAAACAAAGTCCCCGATGTCGTGGAGTTGGCATTCAAATGTTCGAAATGATGTGACATAATTAATAATAAAGCCCAGGTATTCAGCTTTGTCCATTCTTATCATTTTGTAATATTTGCTTAATATTTTAAAAAGAAATTAATATTGCAGATACACTCAAGCCCTCTTGTTGCTTCTCCAAGTTCCCATTTCTCTCTTTCCCGAGAGGTAACTATTCTTGAATTTGGTGTTCATCATTGTCATGCATGTTTCTATACTTATACTACATATGTTTATATACATAAATAATATGTTATGGTTTTGCATGTTCTGGAACTTTCCATAAATGATATGTTGTGGTATCCTCTACTCCTTCCTTTATTCTGTGGGCATTGTTTTTAGATGTGTCCATATTGATACTTATGGCTCTAGTTCATTCATTATAACTGCTGTATAGTATTCCATTGAATGAATATATCACTATTTATTCATCCTCCTAAGGATAGAAATGTAAATGTAGGTTGTTTCCTTTTTTTTTTTTTCCTCCATTACAGACAGTGTGTCACTGAATGTTGTTATACATATCTCTTTGTGTACCTGTGGAAAAATTTCTCTCTATATGAGTCTAAGTACTGTTTACGGGGCTTATATATTCTCACATTCACCACATAGTGCAAATTATTCTTCAAATTGGTTGTGCTAACCTGTAGCACAATATATTTTTAAAAACTTCCTATTTAGCCTAATAATTTTAGTTGACTATAGATGTGAGCTGGTGATTATCAGTAATTTTCTTTCATAAGGTACAAAATGAATATTTAGAATATCATTACACGTACCTTCCTTGAAGTCTAACTGTGGTTCTCATCTAGGGGATGGCAGTTTGAGAGTTAGGCCTTAAGCCCATATACCCTTTGAGTCAACATCATTAAGAATAATGCAGATCTGGTCAAATATGTCCAAGGAAGATAAAGCTAGGTCCTGTCTATCTTCAATTGAAGAGGAGATTGGGGGATAAAGTATTAATGTAAACTGGGTAACTGATATTATTTAACGTATCTGTCTTTTGTTTCGTATCCCAAAATAAAATTGTCTGTGTTGATTGCTAATCAGAGTTAAGCAATTCACTTGAATTTTCTAAGCATTAGAGAGAGAAAATTAATATTAGAGGTATGTTCAAAGAGAATTGATTTTTTTGTCCCCACCAGACTTAAATCTGAATTAATTTTTGAAAATGAGAAAATCTTAAATCAGCTCTTTCTATCACTTATTATTTTTTATGTTTTCCTCTCTCCGTTTCTACAGAGAGTGTTTATTGGTCTTTCTGATGCTGCTTCTTCCAAACTCCTTACCGTCCCTTAGCAGCAGTGTAGCATGGTGGCCTGGGGCAGTGACTCGGCACCCAGAGTTCTGGGTTCAAATCTTAGCTTTTCCTCCTGTTAACTGAGTAATGTTGATGAAGTGACTTAATCTCCCTGCACTTCAGTTTCTTCATATGTGAAATGGGAGTAATTATAGGTTGAATCCCACAGAACAGCAGTGAGGATTAAAACAGTAACGGTTCATGGTACGTGTGATGTAAGTGTTTATTATTATTAGAACCCCAGAGGCAAGTGATTTTGTTGCCCAGAAAGGAAAGGAATGGACTTTAGGAAATAAAGTTCATACACAGTAATAAACGTAGCAGGAGCTAGATTTGCAAGAGATTTATAGACATACACACATACACACAGAATACTCTGAATTCATTATGGAGCAAATGCTCATTCAAATACCTTCCCCGAGGGCTTGGCTTTTGAATCTTCAAAACGGCAGTTGTAGGATGACTTCACCCCTGAGCCAGTCCTAGATCATAAGCCTTGTGAACCCAAAGACAACTGTATAGCAAGGTCACTGGCTATTTTAATAGTGAACCATTTATTTTCTTGTCTGTGCCATTAGTAGGGGCTTTCGATTACATCAGAAATTCAGGATCATGAATTATTTGGGCGGCAACAAGTAGATGTTCAAACCCAAGCTGTGCTAAATGTGAACATAATTATAAATATTATTTTTCTGCCCATGATGTTTTTTGTGACTAAGCCCCATGAGGAAAGAGACTGTTCTATCCTCAACGTGAAGTACTGTGCCTGACACTTGGTAGGAACCAAGTAAATATCTATAAGATGGATGGATAGATGGATTGTAACATGGGTTCCTGAAGAACACAGTCAACTAATTTGCTCAAGATGATTGAGAATTAAAATAGTGCCTAAATAACGAGACAAAGAACATCCAAAAAGGATGGGGACTATTTTTCTCAGAACCTTAGATTTGTTTTTGGTTTTTATGTAAACCTTTCAGTTTGTATTTGCAATCTGCAAGACGAACAGAGGACCATTTTACACAATATAGAGCTCTTTATAAAAATGCCTTCTGTTTGAATACCACTTCATAGTTTATAAAGCCCCTTCACACGATGATAGAAATAATTATTGTTTGAGAACTTACTATGCACTGGGAACTGTGCTAAATGCCTTACATACATTGCCTCATTTATTCCTCAGGCCAACTCTGTACTGTAGTTTTTATTATTCCCATTCAACGTATAAGGAAACTGAGGCACAGGGGTAAACTTTCCCAAGATCACATAGTCATTGGGATTTGAACCTAGATCTGCCTGGCCTTCAGAGTCTGCACTGCCTCCTGAGAAGGCCTGGGAAGTCGGGCAAGTGCTGTGTCCATTTTACAGATAAAGAAAGTTGAGACACAAGATGCCTTGAACAACTGCAACATGTTCCAGGGACAGAACTGGAAATAAAGCTCAGGTCTTTCAATTCCAGTCCAGCACTGTCTCAGGGCCATGTTACCATGCATTGGCCAGAAGAATCTTCTATTTAACTATCCCAGATTTGGAAGCATGCTTTTCACCTACTGATTTCTTAATCTTAGATGTTAAGTAAGTGACCATGGTATGCTTACACACAAAGCACTTTATGACATGCCTTATGTGCTTAACAATGAGCATCCATTCAGGAGACATGACTGTGTCCTACATGTCAGGTCCAGCTGTCCCTGCTGGGAGGACTGGGGAAGGCTTCGCAGAGGAAAGCACCCTGAAGCTCTGGGACGTCCAGTCATTTGTCAGAGGTGCAGAGAAGCAGGTCCAGATGGACCCCCAGACCTTTAATCTACCCAGAATTTGCTTATCCCACTGCTGCCTGTAACCTGCATCTCTTTGCTTCTCTGGAGTTGCCAGCATCACTGTCTCTTGCCAAAATAATTATTCTTAGAATAAGCAAAGTCTTCGTTGCAATTTGGATAATCAACCAGTGTTGGCTCTGCTGGACTTTTCTTTAAAGTCAGAAATTGCACATTCTAACATTAATGCCACAGTAATTTAATTGGCTGGCATGCATGAGCTTGTGTTTGGTGGAGTGTCATGAAATTGAGCCATTTCTCATATGGTGGCAACCTAAATGTCATTCATCTGGATCTCATCTTGATCAAACTAAAGCTGGAACAGATTGGCTGAAGTTACCCCTCAGGAGTCCACAGAATGTTCTAGTGAGCCAGAGGGCGGGAGGCCCTACCCTGATGGTGGTGAGCCTACTTGTCCTTGATATCGTTACCTTTCATTTCATTTATTAGCATCTATGGCCCTGAAGTTGCATCAAAATGCTCAGATTGCTTTTAATTGGCCTGAGAAGCTATTTTCTTTTTCACTTAATGCCTCTTTGAAATTTAATTACACCAAAGTAGACTTTCATGATATAAGTATGATCATCACTTGTGTAGCTCCACAAAGCTTGATGGATTGAATCCGCACTGGTTCAATTGTTTGGAATCATATTCTGGTCTGCTTGTTTATGAAGTGACTAAGACAGTCTGTAGCTATGCTGTCCAGTATGGTAGTCATTAGTTCCGTTAGGATATTTTAATTAGAATTAAATACTTACTTTATCAGCCACGCTAGCCCTATTCGAAATGGTCAGTAGCCACATGTGGCTAGTGGCTACCATATTGGATGGCACAGATACCGAACATTTCCATCAGACAGTGCTGATGTATAGCATGTAGAGATCTGCTTTGTTATCTAAAAATTTGATGCAGAGTCAAATCTAGTTCAAAGAAACTTGCAAAACATTTCAGGAAAATTAAGTCTATCTATATTGAAAACTATGGGTCAAAAAGCAAATGAACTTTGGCTATGAGATGAATGCCTACCCAGAACCTCCCACCGCTTTTTTCTTCCGTGTCTCTCCTACCTCCCACCAATACCAGACTCTGTTACTTTCCCCTCATTAGAGGCTGTTGAGAGAGAGAAAGCAGGAAAGATATGGAGAAGTTGGTTTGTGTACATAATTAACATCTATGAACTCTGTGTAATTTTTTCCCTTCTCTCTCCAGGTCCTTGAGGCCACAAGGGTTAATCGAAGAAAGAGCGTGCTGGCCTTGCGCTGGGAGGCGGGGATCTATGCCAACCAGGAGAAAGAGGACAATGAATAATAAACTTCCTTCCACCCAGGAAGCTTCACTGGTGCTTGGGTTACCAAGAAACCAAGCAGTCAACACATCAAAGCATTTTAATGGAATATTTATTAAAGTGCAAACAAACTCAGCAATCCTTATGTAGACCAGAAGCTGCAATATACAATGATGAAACATAAAGTGAGAAAGAATTCCACCCATCAAACTCTAACACCCAGGAGTCAACAGAGAAAAGATTTGTTGTGACTCAAAAATCACCTGGATTTGGACCAATCCACGAATTGATCCAAAAGGACAAAGTTACAAGCAAATCAACATGGTTGCTGCAGGCAGAACTGAGACCAGCCTCTCCGGATGGTGAGGAAAAACCGTGGTGATGGGGCCATTTAGAGCGCAGTGCAGCCCAAGCTGGTGCAATCTACATGGCATAGGATATTTCTCTGCACCCGTTTCCCACCCATCGCTCACAGCATCAGAGGTGTGGGGTTAACTCCATTTTCTCCAGCAGCCATAAAATGAATAATGTTTCTCTCTATATTTGCCCAGAAGAGGCAATTATGATTCCATTTCTCTTACATGTAATTGTTTTTAATTGGGAACAACTAATGATGGCAATACATAAAATCCGTGTTTTTAAGACAATATCTCTTCACGTTGCAAACACAATCTATTCTACATTAGGAGGTTGAGAAAGGGAGAGAAAGCCAAACCAAATGGATTATTTTAGCTTTAGGATCTCTCATCTGCTTATAATATTGACTGATCTGCGGTTTATGAGAACACATTTTCACAATTATGTTTCTTCCTATGAAAACTATATTTAGTGGGCAACAACTATTTTTATGAGGGGCTGGGGGAATATATACATATATAAAACCTGTACACTTTGAACAGCTGGATTCAAGATGGTAGGGGTATTTTTCGAATGGCAATAATTGAAAAAGGGCAAACTGCCTTAGAGAGGTAGATGACAAGAAATAAAAAGGTGTTTATAACTATATTTTATATTATAAAGTGGACTTAGTGGTGGTAGGAAGATTGATAGCTTATTTTGGATCAATAAGAAATGAAAAATTAAAGAAAGATCGTGAAGGTAGGGAGAAAAGAAGGGAGGAAGAAAGAGTGGGAAAATTAGGAAGTAAGAGATTATTTTTGCTGAACAACCAGTTTTCCAGGATGATATGGAGAAAAAGATAGAAATTTAAGTGCAGGCTCGGAATCAGCTACAAATCCTAAAAATGGTGTGTGTGTGTGTGTGTGTGTGCGCGCATGCCTTTGTGTGTTTGTGTAGAGTGTGTATGCTCATGAGGAAGGATGTGTGTGTGAGGCTTAAAATTCCAGAATGATCATGGGACAAAGGTGTACAGTTATTTCCTCCAAAGCTGTTTGTCAGCGTCAGGAGCGAGTGAGAATTTCTTTTTTATGAAAAGGGATATAGAGGCACCGAACTGATGCAGTATTTGTAATATTAAATTGACCTAACATGGTATTTGCATGAGTCACAATTGCAGAGTTTTGAGCAGTTTTGTAATTTGACACTTAGGAAAGTATCATATTTATTCTCATGTTTTGTATTCATGCTTAGTATACTATAGAGGATGCCAGCTTTACTCTCTGTCATTTAAAGCAATACAATAAGGGTATTCCATAATTGGACGCCCTAAATTTCTGGATGAGAAAATTTTTAATTCTGGCCATGAGAAAAAAAGTGACCAGCCTTCTTTTTCTTTTCCTTTTGTTTTAAAACGATGGTTTTTTAAAAAGCAATAATTATTCAGACCTCACTAAAATTCGTTTTTGTTTTTATATTGTTATGTCATAAACTCTAATATGTTATTCTGACAAGTAGCAATTCCACAAAATTTTTATGTAGATGTTATGCACATTATCTTTGCTTCTTTTATTAGACTAGTGTTGACTTTAGGGGAAAGTTTATTCACAGACAAGTGGTGGGCACAAAGTAAAAATGGAACTGGCTGATAACTTACAAGGATCCTTTAAAACTGCCAAGGGCAACCTGCAGTCTGAAGCCAAATTCTCCAGATGGGCGGTTGGCGCCATCTTTATACCGTTCATTCTTCTGAATGAATATTCAACATTGTTGAATGTGCTAGCCATTGGGAACACAAAACAAATAAGATCCCTGATGCAAGGAATTCATTTTCAAATGGAGGAGTCTGTCCTGAAGGCAGACATTCCCAGGAAAATGAGATCTGTGCTAGATTAGAAGTCCTGGCAGGTGAAATGGGAGCGCCCAGGAAGGATGCTTTGCCTGAGGATTTCCAGTGCCCCCCAGGCAGGCACGTAAATAAAAACAGATGGGGCAGCGGCTTCGCGTGGCCCTGGGCACAGTGGCAGCTAAGATGGCTGGAGAGTAGAGTGGTTCTATGGGACAAAAAATGAAAACCACTTCATGTTTTCTGGGCTGACTCTGGATCTCGCAGGGACCGTAAACATGATGTAGACGAACCTCCCCATCTTTCATAAGAGGATACAGTCCTCAGGACTTAGCTGTTTTTTGTTCAGTTTTGAAGGAAACCATGTACCCACCTTAAACTTGCATTTGAGAAGAGAATTTGCAGCTGAAGGAGGCCACACAATTCATGGAATCGCTTTAGAGGCAGACAAATTGGTCTTCGACTACAGTTGATTGAACCAGAAGTAGTTATTGCATAGAGTTGCAGAGCTGGGTCCTTTGGTCCATGCTCCGTGTGTAGATAAGGCAACAAATGCAGAGTTTCCATGACCCTCCCACAGTCACAAAGCTGTTTAACTGTGGCTCCTACATCCCTGACATTTGCTTGTTTCCCTCTGTTGCCTTCCGATGACTGCTGTCTATTTCCTTGCTCCACTCACGATGCTATTAAAATGTAAATTACAGTTCCCTTGGAAGAGCCAGATTTCCTTTGTGCTCTTGAGTTTTTTATTCATTCCAGACACATTGGGCCACTGCTTTGTACATAGCACTGTGCTAGGCTCTGGGATCCCAAATGAACCCCTTTAACTTTGTGAAATTGCAACAGACCCCTGGAGGAAAGTCATTCCTGCCGAATCCGTCAAGAGGAAGAGGCTCGTGAAAAACTTGGCCTCTGATGCTCGTCCCCGCCCCCAAACAGCACGCAAGCTTGTTAGTCTCAGCTAGAACAAATGTTTAGATTCTGTAGATTTTAAAAGCTTTCCTGAAAGTATTCCATTCCGAAGTGTTTATAGATGTTCACTTTCCTCCGGAACTGATTAACTACTGACATGCCTTGGCTTTCTCATCCAGAAATTATGAAAACAGGGTCTGTCAGTGGCAGGAGGCCAGGCTGTGTTCTACTCAGATGACACAATGCAATTTCCTGGTCTCTTTACACCTGTGCATGCTGCCCACCCTAGACAATGACATATAAGCAGTATATAGATCAGTGTCCACATATATACACAACACACACACACATATATAAAGTGTAACAACACTAAAACAGTGTTGACTTGTCTCTGAAGACAAAAAAACATTTTTTCCAACTAAAGAATGGATGTAATTAAACTATGTATTGAAAAAAAAAATAGCCTAAGTGTTTAGAGATGGTGAATTATCCAGTTTTAGTGACAAACCAATTTCCTGAATTTTAAGCATTCAGTGAGTGAGCTGCCAATTTTGGTTTTGTGTTGCTCTTTACCCGAATGACTTTTTCTTGTTTTTGGTGGAAGGGGAAAAAAGCAGCAATACTGTGTTTTGAAAATTATGCTCTGTATCTGGATCTCCTGTATGTTAACCACTTAAATGTTATTATCCTGCTTCGGTTTTATAGTGGTTGTGAGGCATTCGATGCAAGTATACAATTATTTTCTCATTAAAACCCAGTGTGTGTTGTGTTTTTATAAATGACGGCTACTGGTTTGACTGTCAGGGGAGGTTGGAAGACCGATCAGCCAAATGGCGGAATACCAGCGCCCTCGGCCTCTACTTCTGTGTGGTGGCATCTGCTTCTTGCACATTTGGAACCAAGGAAGCAACACTAGCTGGTGGGGCACCCCTGTGACAGGCTGTTCCCAACGCCCCTTTTGCAATGTTGTCTCTAGCTGTCCTGGCTAGACTCCAGAAACTCCGACAGGAGCCACAGAAATGATACGCGTGCCTCTTGATGGGGTAGGTTGACTCCAAGGTCAAAGAGGTGGCTGGGCAAACAGCAGGACAGATGGTAAAACTTAGGCTTTGCATGTGGCTCTGAGGCTCTGATTTTTATTATTACATTTCCAGCACTGTATTTGGCTCTCTAAAGAATAGAGAATTTCAGACTTCAAAGAGCGTACTAAGACCACAGGTTCATCAGGAAGCTTCCACCCCAAATTTCCTCCTGCCCTCATTTCTACTTCCTCACTCCCCCTTCAGTCTCCAGCGGCCCTGGTCGGCATCTCAACCCCTGACACTTACTTGCCACCCAGACCTGTTTCCTGTTCTTCCTTACCTACCCCCACCTCCACCCCACTCCTCTTCCTGGGGTCTGCTTCCCAGCGGCCTCTTCTCTCCCCATTTGTGTGAGTTCTGCCAATCCTATCTTCCTGTTCTGAGCATCTGGGGGCTTCCTTGTGGCACCCTATCATGGGTGGCATCTTCCAAGCTCCCTGTGGTGAGAGTTCTGAATTTTGGGGGAGTGACAGGCCCCTTTGAAAATTTGATCCAACTTTAATAATGGGTAACATTTATGAAGCACTGAGAATGTACAGGCACTTTCCACGCTCTCCATGAATGTAATCTGTTGATTTCTTACAACTCCATGGGATGTACTATTTTGATTTCCATTTTCCATGTCAGGAGACAGATGCTACATAGCTCATAAGTGGCAGCACTTTAATTCAAACTTGGACACTCTGGCTCAAGGCTTGCTCTTAACCACTCTTGCCACAGAAACATACATTGCAACTTACATAGGAGGTCCAGTAGAACCAATGATGTGTGTGGTCTAGGTGACCCTACAACATCTCCCATGTACCCTCCAGGAGGAGCACTCTAGTGGGCCAAGGCCAAGGCTATGTTAGGGGCCCGAGTCTGGGGGAGAGTGGGGTTCGGGTAGGAGCAGCAGCAAAGACGCTTCTGCATGTGAATGAACTCCCTCTCCGCTGTTTCCTTGGGGATCAGCTCTTGCAGAAGATGGTGAGAGAAGATGGCCCAGGCATCCCTGTTGCCAAAAAGGAACCAGCAGTGACTGCAAATAGGGTGATGAGAATGTGCTAAAACAGAATTGTGGTGATGGTTGCACAATTCTCCATTTACTTGTAATCATTGAATTGTACACTTGAAATGGCTAAATGTATGGCATGTAAATTATACCCCAATAAAGCTGTAGCAAAAAAAAAAACGGAGAAGGGAAATAAAGGAACCAGAGTAAGAGGCCAGAATAAGGAGCCAAGGAGGCCACACGCCCTTAGGTTGAAAGGAACGAGAAGAATCCTTTACGCCAACATACAGCCACCAGCTCACCAGCTGACGAGGAAGAAAGCTTGCTGTCCTCAGGCTGCCCCCAGGAACCAGAAGCAACGGGTTGTGATCAGCTGTGGATTCAGTGTCCTGGTCCTCTCTCCATCCATCACTACTAAAGTCTGGGGCATCAGGCAGAGCCAGGTGGGACAAGGTACACCAGACTGAGAGCTGGTGGGCAGGGCTGCCCGGCATTCAGGCTGTAAAAAGCAAAAGAGCGGGGCACAGAGTCTCGTATAGTCAGAGTAGAAGGTTTTTGGGGGGGATTCTTACTGAGTAGGCTCTTTCTGCACAACCACTAATGTGAGGCATTAACCCCTCTGGGCAGAGGGCAGGTATGTAGGCTCTTTGCCCTGTGATGTAGAGCATCGGTGGGGAGGTGGAGGGAGCCTTACGGTTCTCCCTCAGGTTCATCTCCCCTGTTTTTCATTAGTGGCAAAGAGACTATCCTTGTGGGACGCTTGAGGCCATAAGGTTACTTTGGAGCCTTGCTCCTTTTAATTCTGGGATTCCTGGGCCACAAGAGGGTGATGACTATATTCCTCCCTACACAGAACCCCACACAAAATTCAGAATTGGGCTGCTTGGGGCACAGAGCATAAACGGGGAATGGAGAGAGAGAATTCAAAAGGAGTTAAATGTACAAGATGACACTGAGGCAAAGAACGGTGCCTCAGGAAATCCCTGGAGATGCCAAGCTGACAATTCCTGAATGTGACCGGGCATTCAGATGCTTTCTCTCAGAGAAAGAAATGCTGACATAGTGCATATTTTTTTTGTATTCACCAAGCTATAGTCACCCCACTGTCAGTTAATCTTGATGGGAGGATTATCTGGACACTTGGTTCTAACTTGACAGGTGGTGGGCTCCAAGCAACTGGAGTGGATCTGCTGGAACCCTAGAGAAGTCAAGTCACAAATCTCTCTTTCCCTTTGGTTTTGCTCTGCCCTCCCATTTAGACAACATTCTGTCTCCCCAGTGGTCTTCAGTGGGGTACCGTGGTAACGTCGATGTGCCCCTGGGGAGCACTGGTTCTCAAACTTGAGTGGCCATCTGCATCATCTGGAGAGCTTGTGGGCCCCATGCCCAGAGTTTCTGATTCAGTAGGTCTTGAGCGCAGCCCAAGAATTTTCTATCAAGTTCCCTGGAGATGCTGCTGCTGGTCCAGGGACCTCACTTTGAGAATCACTGGTCTGGAGTGTAAGTAATGAACAGGGTCTGGGCATACCAATTATGTTTGAAAACTGGGGAATTGATGCATGAT